TGTCGACATCGGTATTTCCCATCAGTAACCCTGGATTTTATCGAAGAAGAGAAGGGATGAAGGATAAACCCTGGATTAATGTTTTTCCCTTCCTTCAATAAAAATGAAAACCATAGAAATGAAGAGGTAGGTTTGGGGATTTTAAAAGCTTATTAGTCATGATTGAAGATTCAACGTTTAGGACTAGGTTTTGGTCCATGACGGCGAGGCCGGCGAGGCCGATGCGAGAGAGGGTGACGACGTTTAGGCTAGGTTTTGCCTCTGAGTCGTTGTCAAGGATATCGCCTTTCACACGATCTGATACAGATACCTTGAAGTTCTCCATACACCTGCTATTTTTTGGATCTAGGTTCAGATAGACGAGCACATCTCAGCACTTTATGAAATGCTTTTTGTTGATTTTCAATTTCTGATGTACAACAGCAATTACATGCTGTTGTGGTCCAAACTGGGACTTAGAACTTGATTTGTTAGTTCTTTTTGATAGGTTGTTTTCTTTCAGGTACTGAACAGCAGAGTTTATGGCTGGCTTTATTGGTTCAAAATCAAGAAGGCGAATCATGTCAATGCAGGCACGCAGATATTGGAGGTAGTCAGGTGTGGGGACTTCAAACCTGTTTTAATGGCAGTGAATATGGGTTAATTGGATCAGTGATCATTGGTATGTTTTAATTGCTTTTATAACTGTTGATACATGAACTTTCAAAACCCAAAATTCAAAAATTTCACAATCATATTTGTGAGGTAAAAAAAATTCCTCAAACCTGACTAGAAGCAAATCCATCAGTAGGACAAAGAAAGTCAATTCATATTTGCAATGGAACATAGTACATTTTACTGAAAGCTAAAGATAAAGTCAATTCATTTTATTGTGTACACTGCTGTTTGGTTACTTGTGCTCCCCTAATTTTGTTTCTATTTTATTCCCCTTTTACATCTCACATCCTTCCTATAGTTCAAAAGCAACACCAACTTCTGGTGACTTTATTGTTTTGTAATGCTGCTGCCATGGAGGTAACCATTTAGTTCTACTTCCACTTGCAATTCTTTGTACAGGTGAATGAACATTCTGCTACACATGAAACCGTGTAATTCTCTTGCTTATTAAAATAGGATCAAATTCCTCTAGATGATAATGGAAAGTTATGTCCAGAAAGAGGCTGCCAAGGCTCTTAACTGAGGCTCTAAACACCTCATACCAGCATGTTACTTGCTCTTCCAAGGTTGTAATTCTCTTGCTGTTCCTAGAGTTATAATCTTTGTAGTTGCGATATCTCATTTGTGTAGTAGAGCAGTATTTAATAGTAATGATGTAAGCAATTTAAATAATAACAACCATGTGACATGAAAGAACTTAAAGAAGGAAGAAATTAATAAGGCTAAACAAAAGTAAGAATATAAACATGTGTTCAGGATGTGGTCTGTAACAAGAACAATAACACGTGAGTGCAAAACCTCACCCTTCAGATATAACTAAGAAAATTTACTTCATGTAACAAGAACAATAACACGTGAGTGCAAAACCTCACCCTTCAGATATAACTAAGAAAATTTACTTCACGGTAGCCATCCTTTTAGCATAATTCCTGTGTGTGCATGAAACATATGGTAAGTTATTTAAAAATATTGGAACTGTTTTATTGATAGTCTCAGGCTATTATATTTTTGTATCAAGCAATTTATATTTCGTGGCAAAAAGAAAACCTGTCCTTTTGTATGGTGTGCTGCATTACTAAGCTTTCTCCATCAAAATTGGATCAAGTGTGAACTGGAAGGCAAGGTCTGTATCGTGTGCTGCATTACTAAGCTTTCTCCATCAAAATTGGATCAAGTGTGAACTGGAAGGCAAGGTCTGTATCGAAATGTGAAACAAATACTATGACCTGATAAAATTGGATCAAGTGTGAACTGGAAGGCAAGGTCTGTATCGAAATGTGAAACAAATACTATGACCTGATAATTTGATAAAGAGGTCCTCTAATTAGGTGACACATTATTGGTTAAAGGAACAATTGATAATAGAGTTAGAAGAGTTTGCTATAAAATATATATCCTTAAAGGTCAACATTAACTATTAATTACAATCGACTTTTATTATGCATGCTTCCAAAATAATTGAATATACAATTATCATGGTGCTTACACTCTGTTCTTGACAGATTATGAAATGAAATTAAAAACAAACTCTTTGTACAGTTATTTTTGTTGAGGAATCTGCTCGAACATGCTCAACAACTTCTTCTGTTCAATAATGTTTAAGAAAGAGTTTCTGGCCTATTGGCGATATCGATATCACAATGTTCATGTCATGGAATCCATGTGATATCACAATGTTCATGTCATGGAATCCATGTATTGATAAAAAGAAGACAATAGTATGTTGTGTTCAATTAAAAATTCTCTTTATCCAGGTATCTAAATGATGCATGGAATGATTGTCCATATTGTACATTACTTTTGTAAAGGTGTTTTTATGTCCAGTTAGTTGCTAATCTTTTTGTTGTTATGAATTCTTTATTTACCTCTAACTTATTGAAACTTTTGTCAGGTTCATGATGGTCTTTTTGTTCCTATTACCACTGAAGAGCGAAAAAGAAACGATTGAAGTACATTTCTTCAGCTTTAATTTTTAGAGACCTTCACAATTTCTTTTTGCCTCACTCTATTATATTTGTTTTGCTTCAGCCTGAACTTGTGGACATCATCAATGTTGCCACAGTGAAGTCTGCTTAAGCGATGGTCTGTGTACAAGTTTTTGTGAAATCGTCATGTGTTCTTTAATTCTGCAGTTTTTCATTTTGAAGTTACATATTGTAGTAGTTTGCCTGAAAGTATGAGTTAAAGCGTACAAAAACAGGCTGCAAGTATTAATAAACATGTTTTTCTGTAAACATGCTATTTGTGTGTGAAATTTTTCTATAAAAGGTTTGGAAACTTTGTTTGTTAGTAACCTTTGGTTGGGCCTGTTAACAATGTATGTAACCAACCTGTCGGCAAGTAAGGGAAGGTGGCAGGGGATTTATGGTATCAGATGCTTGCTTCGTAATCCTATACTTCAAGCTGATATGTTTCAGGTTTAATATGAATCTATAAAAGAAACATGAATCTGTTACATTGTTCCTTCTTTCTATCAAAGAAACATGCACATCCCTATTCTTTTAGCCGAAATAATGCATCCCCCAGTAGTCAGATTCTCTCATTGCTCAGTATGTTTGGCATGCACATGCTCATATTCAAAGGCAGAACATAAGATTTATGTTGTTATATTCCACTTTGACTTTTGTATATACACTAAAGTCATTGGGTCTACGACGGTAGATAATCTTTTCATAGTTACAGTAAACCTATTTACTATATATAAACTGAAACAATTAATCTACTGTAAATTTAAGTAGCCTAGTTGGTATAATCCTCCTCTATAAAATCAAACATCCCATGTTCAATCAATTCCCTTAAACTTCCACCTTTTCTCAACCTTTATTTATTTCATTATGAGTAGGGGTGTCCAAAAAGCCCGGAGCTCGGGCCCGGCCCGGTGTCCGGCCCGGGCCCGGCCCGGTGTCCGGCCCGGGCCCGGCCCGGGCCCGGAACAGTGTTTAGGGAAAGTGGGGTAGGGGAGAGAGTATGAGAATGAGAGAGATACAGAGAGAGAGATACAGAGAGAGAGATACAGAGAGAAATACAGCAGAGAAAAAATATAGGAAAAAATACCCCTTTAAAAATAATTTAAAAATATCATAAAATTTATTCAAATAAATATTAAAAATTTATGGTTAAAATAATAATAATAATAATAATAACAATGAATAATATCTCATACTAATATACTATCCTATAATCTTTTGTATTTTCTAATACTTCCAACAAATGGCTTCTGGGTCTGATTATGAAGAGCAACATGCAACTCCTACCGATCCAGAGATGAGTCCTCCTACAACAACTCCTCATCCTACCGGTGTTAATCCTGAATCTGGTGGCGACGAATCTACGGCACCAAGAGCTCCAAAAAGGCCGAGGTCTGATGTATGGAATTTTTTTGAGAAGATAGACGTCACCAAGGATGAACACGGTAGGATCATCTCTCAGAATGCGAAATGTGCGTTGTGCGGCCAGATATTCAAAGCTCATCATAAGAGCGGCACCAACCATCTCAAACGGCATATTGAAAAACACAACAAAGGCCAAAATCTACAAGGTGATATCCGGCAGTCTATGCTTTCCCAATCATCCTCTTCAGGTACCCTCGGCAGTTGGAATTATGACGCTGCCCGAGCCCGGAAATGCGTAATCAGGTTTATTGTTCTTAAAAACCTTCCTTTTAAATTAGTAGAAGATGATGAATTTGAAGATTTATTTAGAGATGGTTTTTATCCTGCATTTACAAAATTTTCTCGTCAAACCTGTCAACGTGATATTTTAAAATATTATGTTGAGGAACAGGGAAAAATAATTTCTTATTTTAAAAATTTAAACTGCAAATTTTCTTTAACTTCTGATATTTGGTCATCTAGAGTGCAAACTGGTTATTTATGTATAACAGCACACTGGATTGATGAAAGTTGGAAAATGTTTAAAAGAGTTGTTTCTTTTATTGCAATTGAAGAGTCACACACTGGTATTAATGTTGCAAATTTAATTGTTGAAGAACTTATGAAACTAGAAATTGATCAAAGAATATTTACTCTTTCACTAGATAATGCAAGTAATAATAATGTAGCTGTTGATTTTCTGAAAATAACTTTGTCATTGCCATGTCATGGTGAGCTTTTTCATGTTAGATGTATCTGTCATATTTTAAATTTAATTGTTCAAAGTGCATTTTCTGAAATTAAACCCATGATAGAAAAAGTTAGAACAGTTACTAATATGCATAATGCTTCTGAAATGAGAATTAAAAGATGGAAACAATGTTGTAAAAGAAAAAATTATAAGCCTAGACTAATTCCAAAAGATGTTGACCATAGGTGGAATTCCACATATGCAATGTTATCTGTAGCAATAGAATATAAAGAAATTATAAATGATTTTATAAATTTTTATGCTTCTAGTTCTAGCTCTGGTAGTGCTTATGGAATAACTGAAGATGAATGGACAGTTATATGTAAATTAAATGAGATGTTACAAGTTTTTTATGATGCTACTATGTTATTATCTGGTTGTTATTATCCAACTATTACTTTAGCTGCTTTACAAATTTTAAATATTCAAAATTTTTTTACAAAATATCGTATGGATGATATTTTTGGAAGTATAATTTTTGAAATGGAGAGTAAATTTAATAAGTATTTTAGGCCTATTCCTCATATTTTTGGTATTGGTGTTCTTATTGATCCATGCTTGAAGGAAATTGGCCTTCGAAGTTTGTTACAATCATTGTATGGTGGACAGATTATAGACTTAGATGATGGATCCACCCTTACTGCTACTACTCATTATTTAGCTATTAGAAATTATTTTTAAACCTTATATGATGAGTATGCAGCTAGATATGGTGTAGCTACACAACAGTCTTCAGCTTCGGCACCTTCAGCTTCGAGCACAGGTCGAGGTAAAAGTGTAAGTTTTGATAGGTATGCAATAGTAGCTGAACTAACTGGTGGATCTGGAACTTCATCGGAATTAGATGTTTCTGAAATAGATGAATATTTTTCTGCTTCTTTAGTTAGATGTCAAGGAAATGCTTTAGATATTTTGCAATGGTGGAAAGTATATGGATCAGTTTCATATCCTATACTTTCCACCATGGTTCGTGACTTACTATCAGTGCAGGTTTCGACTGTAGCCTCGGAATCCGCTTTCAGCACAGCAGGACGTTTGATCGACGACCACAGGACATGCTTAGATCCGTATACTGTACAAGCGGTGATGTGCTTACAGGATTGGTGGAGATACGAGAAGCGAACACAAGGCATCGAACGGATTGCTATGATTGAAGATAAATTTGAAGAGTTAGGACTAGCAGATAGATATAATGATTAGATAATATTCATAAAATTGTAATTTTGTTTTCTTAGCTTTAAATTTGAATTAAATTATTTCGAAAAAAGTTGCAAATGATAGTGATATGGGTGAGTAGGTGCCAACCTAGTTGGGATGTACTCATCTATTGTGATGCGACGAATTTCGAAATAAATTTATACTTGTAAAGGATTTGTAAAGGATTTACCGATTATTAATAAAGAAGTTATTTTTATCATTTTTTTGTACTTGTAATTTATGTCATTTTATTTCAATCTATTAATTAAATTTATGAATTTTTTATAATAATTTATGGTTTATGGTTTTGTTAAAATTTTAAAAAAAAATTCTAAAAAAAAATCAAACCGGGCCGGCCCGGTGTCCGGCCCGCTCAGGCCCGGGTCCGGGCTTGGGTTTTGCCCGGCCCGGGCCCGGTTTTCCGGCCCGGGCCGGGCCGGGCCGGCCCGGCCCGGATGGACAGCCAGTTCAGCTCATACAAATGATGAAAATAAAGGAATTTGTTTTTAGTCTCATGTAAATTTTCAGAAATCTTTTTCTATGTGCTCTTTAAAGTTAATGACTCACCTCCTTAACAGTTTCATATTCTCAATACAAGGAGTCTTTTGTTGAATATAACTCGTTTCATTCTAATTAGTATACTTGGATGAGATAATCATCGAAATTTACTATAAAGTACCCAATCTGAAAATTTAATGAGGGTTCAAGCGAAAGAGATCGACAAAAACAACAAAAATTATCCAAAAAAATTTAATAGTCTGTAACACAATTTTTCATTGAAATAAGCACTAAGAGCATACATCGGGCTAGGGATGGCAAAATGGACCCAAAACCAATTGCTCACCTATACCCACCCGTCAAATGAACCATCCAAACCCACCCATTTAGTTAAATGAGCCATAAATGGGTGAGTATAGTTTCTATTAAAGATAAATGAGTCATTAATGGACGGGTTATTACTCACCCATTTACCCGTTTAGATGAATATTGTTTTAAAAACACCCTCAATGCTTCAACAATTACAAAACTTATTTTTAAAAGTTAAAAATTTTAGAAAACACTTAAAATGACTAACAACCCCTTAAAATTTTGAGATTTGCAAAAAACACCTTCAAAGTTTAAAATATTATAGAAACACCCTCAAGAGTTAAAAATTATAAAAAAACTATCAAAATTTTCTAACATCGCAGATGACACATGAAATTCAAAAATTACCAATAGCCCCTTGAAATTTTATAATTTGCAAAAGATACCCTTAAAAGTTATAAAAAATTAGAAAAACACCCTCAAGACTTCAAAATTACCAAACAATCTTAGAGTTTTCTAAACTTGCAAGTGACATATGAAATCTAAAAAATTTCAATAGTCCCCTATAAATTTAAAATTTGCAATTAACACCCTCAAAGTTTAAATTTTTAGAAAAACACCCTTCATAGTTTAGAATTACAAAACCATCCTGAAATTTCAAAACCTACAAATGAGTTTCAAAACCTACAAATGAAATCCAAAAATTACTTACAGCCCCCTATAAATTTATAATTTATAAAAAGCACCCTCAAAGTTTAAAAATTGTAAAAAGCACCCTCAAGAGTTCAAAACTATAAAACAATCTTAGAATTTTCTAAACTTGCAAATGACACATGAAATCTCAAAAAATTCGGTAGTCCCCTATAAATATAAAATTTGCAAGTAACACCCTCAAACTTTTAAAAATTGCAAAAAATACCCTCAATGATATATAAATATAAAAAGTAGGCGCTCATAATTCTTCGTCGGCAGGAGATATATACGTGTGCGGCCAAGTTATTGCTGGTTTCCTGCAAGTTATTGCCGGTTTAATGCAATTTTAGAAGTTATTGTCGGTTTCCTGCAAAATGCTGAAGTTCTTGGGGGTTTAGTGTAATTTAGCCATACTATTAC